TATACAGTATTCATGATTGGTTGATGTTCTAAACACAATTTATTATTCCACATAATTATATTTAATATATGTGCGTTGGTGGCACACCAGTAGAATACTCGCCAACCACGCTTCTTCTAGTTCGGGATTCGATCCCCGGCCGAGGGAAGTAATAAAACTGGTAAAGAGGGAAGGTTGGGCGTGAGGTTAGCAATCCCATTCCGTTAAAACATCAACACCACTGCTATCGAAACTTCCAAGCTCTAGCTTGAAGCCTTATGTTCCACTGGGAACGTAAAGGAATATATATATATATATATATTTTTAAGTTTGACCACGAGCTGATGTCAGTTAGAGAACCATTGAAACTGAAACCAGTAGGCAGTACTGAATGCCTGTTTTATTTCGATATGGGACTTGTTGGGAGTACGCGCTCGACGCCAGGGTTCGAAGCCATGACCTTCCAGTAACACCTCAAGCCCTTACAGCATTGAACAATTCAGACCTGACTCAATGGTCCATGAATTCTAACATCTATCAATTCGTGATTTTAACGTGGTTACCGGTCCATGTTATTGGCTAGTATTTGTCCTCATTGCGGACCGGGTGGACCGATGGGCCCTTTCACTGGAACTCCAGGAAAATTTGTTCTGAAACAGTCACCAGTGAGGATCAGATTAATTTCCAAGGTTTGGTTTCTACGGATTTGGTTTACCTCAAGTTTTATCACGGATTGATATTAGTTACACAACCATTGAACCAACCATTAATTCTTCAACTGCATCTACCCATCAAGGTTCAAAACGCTGAACCTTTCGGTTAGAAGTCAAGCCACCGGGACTCGATTCAGTTGTCAGCTAATGAATTCTAACTTCTACCAATATTCACACAAGGCTTTTATATCCGTCTTATATACTTATGTTCCTAAGGTCTCATGGTTTTTAATCCAGTTTTCCATATATATTTTCGAGATAGGCATTGTGTGTCATTCCTATTGCTCACGTATTTCATGTTGACTTGATGAACAAAAATCCACCAGCTAACTATATACATATGTATATATATCACTTTTCTATAGTTTGATTTGTAAGGGTTAGTTATGTATCTCCGAGTTGATCACGGATTAATATCAGTTAGAGAACCATTTAAAACCAGTACTGGAGTACTGGACAGCTGCTGTTTCATCCTAGTTTGGGAATCATCGGCAGTACGCACTCACTGGGATTCGAACCCAGAACCTTCCGGCTACAAGTCAAGCTGGCTCGTATACCATTCAGCCATTGGGACCCGATTCAATGTCCAGAGCATGAATTCTAACTTCTACCGATTCGTGATGTAGCACAACCTCAACCATTGTCGTAAATGAGACATCCATCCTCACACGTGACATCTGGATGGACCTCACAGTGGTTACGACTTCTCACTAGAACTCACTCCAGGAAACTCTGTCCTGTAACAAGTCACTAACGAGCATCAGATTAATTTTCTATAGTTTGGTTTGTGAGGGTTAGTTTTGTTTGCACGAGTTTCGCCAAGGATTGATATCAGTTAGAGAACCATTGAAAACCAGGGAGTTCCACCAACGACAATGGTTGGGGTCGCTCTAAATCACGAATTCGTAGAAGTTAGAATTCATGTGCTGGTCATTGAATCGGGTCAGGTCCCAGTGGCTGAATGGTATACGAGGCAGCTTACCTTGTGACCGAAAGGTCGTGGGTTCGAATCCCAATGGGTGCGTATTGCCGATGATTCTCAAACTAGTATGAGACAGCAGCTGTCCAGTACTCCAGAACTGGTTTTCAATAGTTCTCTAACTGATATCAATCCGTGATCAACTCGCAAAAAGTATATCTATCACTTTGTTTGACATGAGTACAGCTCACAGTTGGTTTATGATTTATTCTTATTTTGTCGCATTATATTATCATTATCATTACTACTATTTCTGTCTAGGTAACTATTCACTTTCAGAATATGAACACAAACATGTCAGTGGTATTAGGGATAATGTGAAGAAGAATTGATAGTCACAGGAATCATTGTTTTTTTGTATTTATTGATGCAAAACATTAATCAACAATGAATTGGAAAAATTTATTAATGCCTATGCCGAGTGAGATATGATGACAGAAAGTTATTCTATTGTGAATTAATGAATTATTTAGGAGGGAGAAAGAGACAGAAAGAAAGCAAGCAAGATATGAAGTAAAAATATTCTTACATTGATAAATGGGGCCTTTTAATTATTGAACATAGCCGTCATTATTCGTGTCCCAATTAATAATTTATTTATATTAAAATGCACTGATTTGCCAACTACTAGCTTCATCCTTGGTGTAGAGATATGATAGCTGGTTACCGGTCTAATGCCGTGTTTACTACACAGGAATTTGCTGTGACTTTTTTTTTACAACTGTGAGGCGTTGTCATTGAAAGTAAAAGATATGTAAGAAGGTTAGCTGTCTTTGAGGACAGACTAAAGTACGTGTGTATACTGCTTAGCAGTCCTCTCTGTCCTTCTTTATGGATGGCTGTTAGACATGGCCGTCGAGAGTGTAAGATATGAAAAGGTTAGCTGTCTGTGATCATAGGTGCTTGCGTTCCATCTCCTATGTGAACTGGTATAGTAGGGTAAGCAATACTGAGGTTAGGTGTCTGTCGAGTGCTAGGTAAGTAGGAGGGGAAACCAATCGACGAGGCTGTGAAATTACATCGACTGAGATGGTTAGGACTTGAGTTACACATGCATGTCTAGCAATCGATCGCCTTCCTTGACAATGGGCAATGTTAGCTGACATAGTATGGATCAGCCTGAAAAAGAGCCACTGGTGGTCAAACGAAAACATGGCTTCATCAGTCAATGAAATCCACAACAGTTAGTTTTAGCTAGCGAGCCAGTCACGTAGGAAGGTGTAGACATCCTGGTCGGTTGGAGTCCTCGGGATGGTAAAAACCAATGACGATTGGAGACAATTATCGGTGATATGGCTGGCTCAAAATACTCAGTCTCAATGGCTGGTGCAGATGCATCCATTCTTTATGACTTATAATATCCAATGAAACTCTATGGTTCTTCGATATTACTATTCTTTTTATCTCATATCTCTGCTTACTGTCTCTATTTTGCATTTCTTTTTACTTTATTCCCTTGCTTTGTGTGCTACATGGAGTGTGGAGAATTGAACTGCTGCACACTGATGCATATATATATATATATACTGAGATGACTAAGAGATGTGTTACGCACTTATCCCAAGCCACTGTCTTCCTCAACGAACAAGTTCAGGTGATAAAAGATTAGTTTAGAAAAGAGTTAGCTGAGTGGGGATGGATGGTCAAGCAAAAAGCTGGCATAAATCCATGAAGGCATCGACAAATGGCTCTAGTCAGACACTTAGGGAGGTGTAGACTGCGTAGGTAGAGTCCTCAGGATGCCAAGAACTAGTGTTTTGAGACCTACTGGTGATATGACTCAAATTCATCGTTGATAGCGCAGATGAATTCGCCCTTTGTGTTCGCCTATGTCCCTCATATTTCTACTTATTATTTTCGCTGATTTTCTTCTTCCTGTCTTTTGTCGCTACCTTTACGTATCACATGGATTATGGTAACTTGAACTGATGCACTTCTGTACAAAGTTCTGTGCCGAAACTGAGTCAGTCAGTCATTAGTCAGGTACTGATTCGCAAGTAGACTAAGAGATGAGTATACAGACAAATAAATATTTTTCTATTGATTGGTCACTGAGAAGTAACCAGTGCCATCTGTTTAGTTCATAGTGCTGATGCTAAATGAATTCTCTCATTAAATTTTGAAAAACACTTTGTCGTCTTCGATCAGTCTTCTAGAGGATTCTGAATTGTTCTTAATTGATTGGAGGCGACTGGCTATTGGAAGTGGTAGGCTTGAGTTTTGTGCTTACTTACTAACTCGTCTGCAAGATGTATCTGTGATCTTAAAGGAATTGAAGTTCCCTCTGAGGTTTTGATTGTTGTTATCCAAACATTTTCAAATAGGAAACTTGGATCCCCTGTGTTTATCAAGGGAAGAATGGAAAAGAGAATTAGAGTGAAAATGTGTACCTAAGGAATTAGATTTTTAATTTTTTATCCCGTATTCCTTTTGTGTTTTGTAAATTGGGGAAAACTATTTTACTAATGTAGGGCAGCATTTTGCTTAGTGTATACTTCAAGTACTTTAGGATAATTGTGTTCGAACTTGGGCTGAATGATCTAGCAACATAAGGGACACTGTCAGGTAAATGTGATTACAACTCTAATCTTCGTATTACCTAATGTTTGATACTTCGTCCAGGCTGGGAATTAGATGACAACAGGTTAGGCGCGTGAGTCCTCTAACACTGCGCCACCGACGTACAGCGGTAGAATGCCCACGAACCACGCATGTGGACCGGGGTTCGAACCTGGTCCTTGAATGTTATGTGAGCGATATGAAACAGACCACATTTTGTCTATCTCAACCTTTTGGGTGACGAAAGAGAATGTGGTCATTGATATCTTACCTTGAACTGTGTAATTTGCTAGTGACTAAATCGTTTTAATAGATTATCAGGATTTTGGTGGATTCAGCGGATTTAGCTCTCTGATGATGATGATGATGATGATGATGTTAGCTTCAGATGAGTGAAACGAGCATTTCATGTGAGTGTGTGTATATTACTTCCTTCTCTGTCTGACTAGTAACTGCTACTTGGGTAATGTGAGTGGTTGACAACTACTTATATTAGCCAATCAGTAGTATATAGAGCATCAATTGTATTAATCTCGGCTTTGTTTTGATGAAGCTTTTAAATTAATTATTGTTCCCTTTCAGTATCTCAGCTTGTTTTTTTTCATTTCTGTTTTTTCTTTATGTGCAATTTAATTTCTCTATGGTTTGGATCGACTGTGATCCATCACTGACACTCTCGCGCTCATTGGTTGGTTAATATGAATGATGAATCGACTCTGGATACAATCATCATTGTATATTATGTATGTGTATTATGTGCAATAATAAAGCTGCTATATTAAAGTATGAAAATAATGTAATGAATATTCGACAGTTCAATTGTTCACCGCATCCATACTGGTTGCCTAATTTTATGGATGTATTCACTTGGTCGTTACCATTTGTTGGTGAAAAAGGTAGGTTATGAATTTCAAAGCATAAACAGAATGTTTTCATTGCTCATATATATAATTTATTAGCATTTCAAGTAGATTATATGGGTTCAGCAGCACAACCACATTTCTGCAGTCTTTCTTTTTTTTTTTTAGCTAGCTCCACAGTTCCTCTCATAGGCGCTCATTTTCTGCTCACGTGATCTCCAGCATATCTCCTTACAGAGTCTTCTGAACACCTTAAGCTGCAATCTACGAGTGTTTTGCATGCGATTCGCTCCCGCCAAATGCAAGATAATGTTACAGGACTGGACTACACCGACTCCTAGATTAGAAATAGGGAATGAAGTAGTAGAGCACGTTGTCCGCTTCACTTATTTGGGAAGTACCATCAGTCAACGCCAACGGGTTGATCTCTGACGAAAACTCAGGACGGATACAGTGGGCTCGTTTCGCATATGCCAGTTTACACCGTCTCTGGCGTAGACATGATATTCCGTTGGCTTTCGACCAAAGGGCGGGTGTACTGCTCAACAGTCCGCTCCGTCCTCCTTTATGGCTGTGAGACCTGGCCATTGAGAGTGGATTAGCTATGTTTGATCATAGGTGCCTGCGTTCTATCTCCCGTGTGAAGTGGTTTAATAAGGTGAGCAATATTGAGCTTAGGCGTCGGTCAAGTGCTAGGTAAGTGGGAGGGAAAATCAATCGACGACGCTGTGAAATTGCATCGACTGAGATGGTTAGGACATGTGTTACGTATGCCTAGTCATCACCTACCTCGACGGGTCAGGATGGAAAAGAGCTAGCGGTGGTCAAACCAAAACATGACATCAGTCAACAGAATCCACAACAGTAAGTTTAAGCCAGCCACGTAGGGAGGTGTAGGCTTTCTTTTTGAGGTCCTCTGAACGGTAAAAACCAATGAAGGCTGTAGTCAATTGGTGATATGACTCAAAATTGTTCTCAATGGCCGGTGCAGATGCATCCACTTCTTGTGACTTATGATTTCCAATGAAACTTTATTGTTCTACGTTATTACTATTGCTTTGTCTCACACCTCTGTTTACTGTCTCTAATATGCATTTCTTCTACTGTCTTCTGTTGCTTTGTCTGCTACATGGAGTGTGGTGACTTGAAGTGCCGCACATATGTGCAAAGTTCTACGTCAAAAACAGACAGATAGACAGACAGACAGATATCACCCTTGGACTTCTAACTCCTCATTTCTCATTCACACGTTATATCGCTCGATGGTCACTTGGACGTGCTTCAAATCCATCTCCACTTCATTCCGTATATTGCTTCTTATTCTCTCTGGCTATTCGATCTTCGATATCGAGAAAGAGGAGAGAACTGTTTAAGAGATTTTATTTTTAGCAGCTTGTTGGAAGTGCTTTGCATATCACCGCTCTAAGTCACTGGACGATACAGAAGAAGAATTGACTTGATAGTTTTGTTGAAGATCCGAATACTGTCTCTTATGCTGAGTGCAGTAGATTTCTTAACTGTTTTAAGAGAGGGAGAGTGAGAGACAAGTCTATCTTGCTTTTCCATATCCTAAATTTACCAGTTCGTATCTATGCTTTCTGTAGTTGGAACGATGCTGCCTTTAGACAGTTGAAAGACAATTGACATCGTTCAGATTTCTTCCGATAATAATGCTTATTATTATTGATTGGTGGAAATCTTCATCACCTGTGTATTCTCCGTGTCCATTTGAGAAGTATTGTCTTCATTGTGTTTTCTACCAACTTGTTAATTTTTACCGCCACCACTGCACATCTTTGAGTTTATATGACATTCACAAAGTTCACAACTTTTAATGGTCTTCTTATAGGGTTCGGCTTAGTTCAAAACATTGAAACTGCATAGTTTTATGTATTTTTGCATTCACCGTGAATGTTATATACTCCTAATTTTTGTCGGAAATTATTGTATCACCTTAAACTAAGTAAATTTTTGCAGTTATTGCAAGCACAAATTAAATTCTAATTAAATGCCTAGACATTGTCGAAGCATCTGCACAAGAAGCCGATATGTCACCCTGAGACCGAGCGCCTGGGTTCAATCAATTGAATTAAATAATTAATATGACCCGTTGCACAAGAGATGGCTGGCTCTTGTGGTCCAAATGGTTTAGTTGGTGACGCTTTGGCGTTTGAAACTATGGACACTGGGTTCGAGCGTCGGTGGTGCCAACATCATCACTCACGGACTGGGGAATGTAGGTACATCTAGTTGACGAGTCGCAGATAGGACGAAATGCACGTTATCTTGGATTCCACTGCTAGTGACCATCCACAAATTAAATTCTAATTAAATGTCCAAACATTGTCGAAGCATCTGCATAAGAAGCCGACATGTCAACCTGAAACCGAGCACTTCGATCCAATCAATCGATGGGAAAACCTTAAATTCAATTAGATTTTGTGCTGTACTATGAAATAGCCGACCATGTCAGTGTCATATATGTGTACAAAGCAGCATATTGACAGAAAGGGTCGGCAGCAAAACAAGGGCATCAAGCGAACATAGAAAAGATAGAGGGTGATGAAGATAACCACCGATCAACACCAACAAGTGCCAATCCTTATCAGCAGAAGAAATATAAATGTGGTACTGAAGATCAGTTGACGAGATAGGATAAACAACTGGGATAACATTGAGATGGTATTCTTTTAAGGGATATAATGTATTGTCCTACGTCCTTGTCTAGTGAGTAACCTTCAAAATGGTTGTCCCCAATGCGACATCTAACACAGATATCCTGAAATCGTGGGTCACGTTCAAGCTGGCTACCTACAATGTTCGGACGCTGATGTAAATCGGACAACAGACAGGGTTGTAAGAACATTGGAAAGCCTCGGTATCGATGTCTGCTGTATTTTGGAGACCCGCATTCAAGATCCTAGTGAAGTGCTTCGATTATCCTCTCCATCTACTTGCATTCGATGGCATCATCGCGTGAGTAATTCTGAGGTTCGGCGACGTGTGTTTGAAGACAGTGGAGGTGACCATTCGTTGAGTGCTGTCATCTGGAAACACCGGCTACCGTGCCTTGAACATGTGCTGCGAATGTCATCCCAGAGGCTTCTGTACAGGTCTCTGTTCGCTAGCCAGCCCTGGGACGCGACGGAAAAGTCGGAGGGGCGGTCAGTCCATGACGTGGCGTCGTGGGATGAAGGATATTTGTGCTAGATTAGCATCGGTTGGTGTGTCACGACTCGCTGGTTGGGGTTCGCGAGATAGCTCGAATCGATGATGGCTCGAAACGTTATCTTATATGGCCGGGAATCGTAATCAATGGCGAAAGTGTTGCAATTTCCTTCTTTCTTACCTTCTCGATGATAGTTGACGAATACTGTTCGAACTTGTTAAGTATGGCTTTTTACTTCCTGATGAAGTTTTTCTCTGCTCTCCATCCATATTTTTTGATTTCATCTAAACTGTGTGGCGCATCTTTCTTGGTGCCATATTGTACCAAGTTTTTTCTGCGTTTAAATAAAAATAAAAAATGTGAGGAAAGAGAGAGAATGGAAGCTTGTAGGCGGTTGTGAGACAGCTGCAAATAATAGCAAAGAAATGCATCAGTCGGAGGTGTGCTGGTGAAGCCTTATGCTCCACTCTGTAGTCAAGGAATGAATAGTGGTAATGATAATAATAATAATAATGTTGAAACTGCTTATATGTCTATCCGTCTAAGTTTAGTTATTTTTATTTCTATTCCTTTTGATAATTAATTGTACGTTTTGTTTCTTGTTACTTTATAGTTACTGAAATGTTGGTCAATGTACTCAATATCTGTTCAGATGACGAACTGTTATCTGATACACCAGAAGATGAATGTAAGTATCCTATTGTTTTTTCAGTTGATTATTTCTACTGTAATCTTATATACTACTGATTGATATGAGTAGTTGGAGGCCAATTCCGTCGAGCGGTAGTACTTTATAGCCAGATCATCGAAGTAATTGATCTAAATGCAAGGCATGGGCGTTTCGCTCTCTCTCTCTCTCTGCTCTCTTTGGTTAACAAGAAAACGATGGCAGTATCTCTCTTTTCTGCCTCGTATAGGATTCTTCTCAGCATTGTTACCTTCTTCTTGACTTTCTTTCTAATAACTATCATATCTTCCTTGAAGATATTACCAGGTCTGATAGTTATATGTATATGTGATCGGTTTTAAGTCTGGTTTCATTACGGACTGACATCAGTTAGTGAATTGTTGAAAACTAAGAATTAGACGACAGCTAGTTGGTCCTGTCTCGGGACTCCTCGGTAGTATAGATACACCCCCTCCCACCCACTAGAAATATAAACACAGGACCTACTGGATATGAGACGAATTCTTTTTTTTTGCTAATTCGTGATGTATAACATCACTGTCAGGCAATAATAACGGTGAGTATCTGTACATTCTGCGACTCAGATGTATTCTGGGTTCTTTCCTAGGCACAAGGGTCCTGTGTATGTGTGTGTGAGCTTCTGAAAAATTGAAGACTGGAATGAAACAAGTGTACTATTCACTGTTCATTTACGACAAACTACAGGATAAAATTTCCTGGAGTTGTAGGAAGTAGCGATCTGTGAGAGGTCCATTAAGTCAGCTATGAAGAATGATGCCGAAGAGGATGATCCTGGCTGATGCTGCTGGTGGTGTGTGTTTTATTAGTCAGACACATACATTACATTACAAAAGAATCGATATCTACGGAAATTCATCAAAAGACATATTCTCCCAAGCCAACCTACCAAATCAAAGGCCCCCAAGGGAAAATCAAAGATCAAATCGCTCTACCATATATAAAGGAGACAAGACGGAGGTAATGAAAATAACCAACCAACCAACAACAACTACAACAGCAGCAGCAACGTCCAGCGCCAGTCACCATCAACAGGAGGGATTTGAAAGAAGTTACTTCCTTCCCTTATCTAGGGAGCATTGTCTCAACTACAGGAACGGAGGAACGGACGAGGATGTCAAATCGAAGCGAGAATCGGGAAGGCTAGCGAGAAACACATTCATCAACCTGAAATCAATCTGAAAATCTTCTTCACTCAACTCAGCATAAACAAGAAAACTCGGTCGGATTTTCAATACAAACAACATCAAGTCAGTCAGTTCTTCTATACGGATCAGAAACTTGGCGGGCGGGCGGGTCACAAAGAATATTTCCAACAGCCTGTTGCAGACCTTTATCAACCAACAACTGTCTTCGCTGGCTCTATACTGAAGATCAATGAGATGGATGGGCCGGAAAGAATCACCAACAAGAAACTATGGGAACAAACAAACGAAACAATAACCAATCACCGCTAAACAAATATGCAGGAGGAAGTGGAGATGGATTGGGCACTCGCTGAGGGGCGACAGACCATCGCTCGAGTGGAACCAGGCCGAAAGGAAAGCGGCGGCGAATGTAACGTCAGTGCAAGAGTGACTTGGAGGAGATCGTGTGAAGAGGAGTTGAAAGTGTATGGACTAACGTGGTTACAGGTGAGAAGAACAGCAAAAGACAGAAGCAAGTGGAGGCGTGCAGGTGAAGCCCTATGTTCCACTAGGAACCCAAGGGAACAATAATAATATAATAATAATAATAATGTACAAAGGACATCTCAGAAATCATTGTAAGACACTTCAAACCTTTAGGAATTCATGTCGCATACAAACCAACAAGATGACTTCATTAAGCTCTATGTCAACCAAAAGACTTAACAGCGAAGGAAGATAAAACACCATCACCGTCTACAAATTAAGTTGCAATAACTGCGAAAAACACTACATTGGCACTAAGTGAACATCCCCTTCATCTTCGTATCCATGATGAAAAACTACTCACCAAAAGACACGACGTCCACTCCTTCATATCGCTGCAGGCAGACAACCACGGACATCAATTCGACTGGGACAACCAGCTTTCAAATATTAGACAGAAGAAACAGCAAGAATGCTAAAGAACGTTTTGAAGCCTGGAATTCCAGTAAGCTGTCAATTAATAAACGTATTATCAAGTATCGGTTTTTATAAGGATTTAGTGTGATTGGTTGGAGGGTTTCATCATGAGCTGACATCAGTTGTAGAACTACTAGGCAGCTATTCCGTCCTAGTCTGGAACTCTTCAACAGTACGCACTCGCATTGACACATTGACATAGACGAGATTTACCAATCTATAAGATGGAAATCTCACACAGAAAAGGCCAAACTTCAGGTTGAGGAAACGATCAGTACCACTGAACACACACACGCACGCACACAAAACAGTTGGGTGTGAAAACACACAAAGACAATCAGGCACATTCAAGTTCACCTATCAGGAGAGGTGACTAATAAACTCATGGAGAAATCCAGAAGGTCACTTCAAATTGAACTGTGTACTAAAGATGTTTATAGTGGTGGGGCAATGAAAGCTTTGCAAATTTTCCATCCAGTTCAGAGAACACAACTAGATCAGAATCAACCAATCGATCTACAAATCTTCCCCAACATATCTGGATTACTCTACTTTCATTTTCATTACTCATTAAAAAAAGAATAATAAGATCATTCCTTAATAAGGTGTGGCTAGTTCTCTTGAAACACGGATATTTTCAAGTGTTGATTTGTAAGGATTTGATTGGGTATAGGCTTGGTCTTGAGCTGACATCAATTAGAGATGCATTGGAAAACCAACGAATACTGGAAAATTCATCTAAGGCTCACTAGCGACTGACTGTATACAGCAAGTTACGTGGTATTCTAGTAAGAAGTCGTGATCGGTGTGGTCTAAGAAGTCTGGTAGGAGGACAGTTACTTATTGATGATATTGGCTAGCAGTCGCGCTACACATATCCATTACCAGTCAGTGGGAGTTGGAGTTAGTCATCTTCTATTGAATGGGATCCTAGTGGCTGGATGGTCTACTGGATCGCCTCATAATAACCTGAAGGTCCTGGTTCAAACCCCAAAGGCTAGGGTGAAACAATTGTTCAGTGCTCTTTGATTTCCCGGAGGTTCTCTCACTCATGTCAGCTTGTAATCAAACATAGAAATATCTTACAATCATGCTTTCTTTATCGTCTATTTCGGTGTTGAATTTTTGGGTGATCTTTGTGGAAATCAGTAAGTTGCATCTATCAGCTTACGTAATCTGAGTGTATGTGTGTGTGCTTATATATTTCTCCTCTCATGATATCACTAGTTATCTCTAATAGGATTTTTCCCCGTCAGTAGAAAGAATACGTATACATATTGAGACTGATTAATATTGGCTTATTGAAATTTCTTCAATGTTTATTCTCAAGGGTTTTTAGATTAACAAAGTAAACATGAGACAGTTTTTCTCTTCTTTTCTATTCCTGTTGTTACTTCAGTTTAATTTGCTTAATATTTCAGTTTACAAAGTCAATAAAAACGTCTATTCCACTCTCTGGTGGCTGCCACCTACTTTGTGTGTTCATGAGGAAACTTGTTTGTAAGCCAACTACTTGTCAGAAACAGTAACTATTTGAGTTTTTAAAAAAAAATACGGATGCACTTCTGTCCAGTCGACGTCTAATATAAATGCTAACTAAGCCAAGTGACACACGATTATTGTGTGTGGGTGTGTGTGTAACAACAGAAGACAAGGGCCAGGCAACAGATCGTTTAATTACGGAAATCAACAAGTATTTATATGAATTTCACGTACATTATTATAGCTTATTCAAGTAGACAAACGCAGCCTTTTGATTGGTTGTTTCGGGTAACCATCGAAAAGTGGAGCCATCTATCTGCGAATCATATTTGCCCACGTTAAGTCTGCTGTGATTGGTTGTTGAACCAGTCTTGTTCATATTTTCTCACGGCCAATATTAGTGACCTAGACATTGATGTAGATTAATGTCTACCAATCGGCTAGCAGCCTGCTCTCACCACATGTGTGTTTTATTTCTAAAATTCATGTTCTCAGAGAATCTTGAATCATAATAGACGAGAATTCATGTAATCCAAAAAAGAAAAAAGAAAAATAGGATAGAATTCATTTCAGTGTTGATCAACAAAAGTGGAGACGCAGCCTGTTGGACACAAAATGGTGAAGAAAAGCAGATATGAGCATAGACCATTATCGCAAGTTGAAGGCCTTCAAAAAAAGCCGGAGATAGACCACAACCAATTGTTTCGTCACCCCAGTTTACGACTCTTCACCAGTACGCACCAACCCCCAAAGGGTTCGAAACCCAGGACCTTCTGGTTACAAGGCGAGCTAGCTAGCTAGCTCGTAGACCATCAAGCCATTGGGATCTAGCCGATGCACTTCTGCTTTACCTCGCTAAGTCAGTAATAATAAAAGTTGGTAAAGAGGAATGGTTGGGCATAGTTGGACTAGCAACCTCATCCTGTGAAAAAAATAAACACCACCACTGCCACAGAAACTTCAAGCCTCTAACTTGAAGACGCTCTATGTTCCACTGGGAACGTGAAGGAATTTAAAAAAAACACCACAACCTAAGTTCAACTGAAAGATGAAACTAGGAAGTGTGCGTTTACTACAGTCATCAGAGAAAAAGTAGGAGACAGTAAGCAGAATAAGTGAAGAAAGCCTGTGTGGTGGAACAATAGACCTTTCTCAAATTGATGTTTAAGGATATCTGTACGGCCTAGCCCGCTTTAGGAAGAAAAAAAATAGACAAGACAATCTCAATGGCTCCCCATGGACATGTGGAAATCAAAAAGGAGGACAGAAGTATGGTGAACCAGAAGAAGAACCGATACAAAGATAATAGATTGATTGAATAGGAAGTGAGATCCGTGATCACCATAGGATCCAAGTTAAGTATTCTAGTGACTGGAGACATGACATTAGTTACTGCCTACCGTTCAGTGAAATTATCCACTATAGTCTTACACAGGAGGTCAATTGACAGCCTGGATAGATCAGTAGTAACGTCTCTGATTGCAGGGCTGGAAAAGCCAGGTTCGAAGCTTAGAAGTTTTTGATGTGGTTGTGTTCTCTGATCTGGATGGTTATTTTGCGAAGCTTTCATCACACTAATAGGTGATATCTTCAGCGCATACTTCAATTCAACGAAGTGAGCTTTTCGATTTCTCCACGAGTTTATTAATCATCTCTCCTGATAGGTGACTTTGAACGTCGTGATTGGTTGTTTTTGTCTGTTCTCACACCTTCTGGGCTACAAGTATTGGAACTGGTTGTTTCTTTGACTTCTACTTTGACCCCTTGTGTGTGAAGTTTCTTTCTTATCGGTTGATAAATTTTGTCTATCTGGATGTGTCTATTGATTGATGATTCACTGGAATGCCAAGCTTCTAAAAGTTCTCTAGCATTCTTGTTGTTTCCTCTGTCTAATATTTAAAAGCTGGTTGTCCCAGTCAAATTGATGTCCGTGGTTGTCTGTATGCAGTGATATCAGGGAGTGGATGTCATGTCTTTTGACAGCTAGTTTCTGATCATGGATACGAAGACGAAGGGAATGTCCACTTTGGCCAATGTAGTGCTTTTGGCCGTTGTTACAATTTCTTTTTGTAGATGATGGTGGTTTTGTCTTCTTTCGATGTTGAGTATTTTGGTTGACATAGAATTGATTGAAGCGACTTTGTTGGTTTGTGTACGACGTCAATTCCTGAAGGTTTGAAGAGTCTTGTAGTGATTTCTGAGGTATCCTTTATGTCTAGTAAGGCGGTTTTCTTTGTGCTTTCCTTGGGGGGCTTTTGGTTTGATAGGTTGGCTTGGGGGTATATCTCACATCACTACATACAGACAACCACGGACATCGATTCGACTGGGACAACCAGCTTTTAAATATTAGACAGAGGAAACAACAAGAATGCTAGAGAACTTTTAGAAGCTTGGCATTCCAGTGAATCATCAATCAATAGACGCATAGAAATAGACAAAATTTATCAACTGATAAGAAAGAAACTTCACACTCAGGGGATCGAAGTTCAAGCCAAAGAAACAATCAGTTCCAATACAAGCAGCTGCCTAGAAGGTATGAAAATACACAAAACCAAGCAGTCACAACGTCGAAGGTCACCTACCAGGAGCGATGAATAATAAACTCGTGGAGAAATCTAAAAGTCCACTTCATTGAATTGAAGTATGCGCTGAAGATGTCACCTATTATTGTGATGAAAGCTTCGCAAAATAACCATCCAGCTCAACGAACATGACCACATCAAAGTCATCCACCTGAGCTACAAACCGTCTCTATCATATCTAAATCTTAGAAGTGATATGAATTTTTTCAAGTTTGCAGGCACTCTTTGATGACGAGTGCCATCGAGCACGGACGGAATCTAATTACAATTCAGAGTGCCGCATGATTTTTGAGCTACCTACTATGATGGCCACATTACAAATTTGACTGATAAGATTCAACCCTACACCTACACTGAGAACTAGATGCCTGATAGTCGTTTTCACCTAGTTATCCGATCAAAAATCTGGTGACTGGTTAGTTTGAATTCTACTGGTGTCCATTTCATTTTTATTTCTTCCTCTATTAGGCTTCAATAAGTATAAAATTTGGTCACATAGATATTTATCTTTTTAAATTCTAACAAATATTCTTGTAATACATGTAGTGTGTGAGGATGGATGTCGGTCGTATTAAATCACGAATTGGTAGAAGTTAGAATTTAATGCTCTGGTCATTGAATCGGGTCTGGTCCCAGTGGCTGAATGCTGGTATACGAGCTAGCTTGACTTGTAACCAGAAGGTTGTGGGTTCTAACCTTGACGGTGTGTGTGTGTGTCTGTACTGACGATGATTCCTAAACTACGCTGATGAAACAGCTGGCTGTTCAGTACTCCCTCCAGTACTGGTTTTCAATGGATCTCTAAGCGATATCAATCCTTGCGTGGTCAAATTTGTCACAACAAATCTAATCCTTAAAAAGTCAATTATTTATAATACATGTATACGAAATTGACAAACATCGCTTCTTTTTCTCCCCCCCTTCCCCTCTATTCACTTTTTGTTTTTGCTTCATTGTCATTTTAGCACAAATCACTGCACGAAAAGACGTGATACGGAATAAGATTCGAGCTATTGGCAAAATGGCACGTGTGTTTACTGTATTGAGGTTAGTTTCAAGCACATAGTTTTTCTTGTCATCTTCCTGACCATTTAATTTTGTATTCATCTGTGTGTGGTTTGTTGTTTAGGGATGGATCAAAGGCATAATACTTCATCTTTATCAGATTATATCCTGATTGCTTTCTTGTAATAGTGGTACCTCAGCGTGTGCTTACTCCAACTTTCGTTTTATGCAGTTTTGTACTAACTAACCTTGATAGTTAGAGTCTTCCGAACTCCTTGAGCTGGAATCTGCAAATGTTTGGCATGTATTTAGTGCAATGCATCACCAACCAATATCTTCGGCGGGAACTCCATTCTCACACTTGACAGGATGGACCTCAGTGTGGTCACGACTTCTCACTAGAAGAACTCACTCCAGGAAACTCTGTCCTGGAGTTCCCAGTGGGTGCCTACTGCCCATGGTTCTTAAACTAGGCTGGCAAATAGCTGTCCAGTACTCCCTGGTTTTTAATGGTTCTCTAATCAATTTCTCAATCAATACCCGACGATTGGAAGATAAGATATTTATTCAAACTACCAAAGAAAGGAGACTTAAGTCAATGCAAAAAACTGGAGCGGAATTATGCTCCTGTCCATCCCAAGCAAAATACTAAGCCGCATCATCCTGGAGGGAATCAAAACAAGCCTTGGATGAAAAACTTTTACCGGAACAGGCTGGATTCAGGAGAAACAAGTCATATATTAATCAAATCGCCATACTACGGATCATCACCGAACAAAGCTTGAAAAGGCAGTCACCTCTCCACCTCACTCAACTTCATCGACTTTGAAAAGGCCTTCGATAGCGCAGCGTCGATCGAGAGTTGATTTGACAACTACTTCGCTACTGCAGGATACCATCGATAATTATACATCTCATCCAACAGTTATACGAAAATGCTGCATGCCAAGCAATCCATAACGTGAATCTTATGGAAGCCTTCGAAGTGAGGACGGGAGTGAGGCATGGCTGTCTACTATCGCCAATGATCTTTCTGATTGCAGTATACTGGATGGGCAATTAGGAAACAGGCATAAAATTGACTCACACAAAAAGAAACTTGGAGGATCTGGACTTCGTCGACAAATTGGAAGATATGCAAGTGAAAAGCAACAAGTTGGTGGTAGAAGAAGCATCAATGATAGGACTTCAGGTAAACATAGATAAAACAGATGTGATGAAGATTCCTGACCAACACCAACAGCAACAACAACAACAGACAACCATCAGCCAGCATAAATAAGAGGAACCTGAAAGAAACGACTTCATTTACCTATATGGGAAGCATCGTTTCAACTATAGGCGGACGGAACTGATGAGGATATCAAAGCAAGAATCGGAAAAGCGAGACAAGCTTTGATTACTCTCAAGTCGGTGTGGAGGTCAACAGCACTCAACATGAGAATGAAAATAAGATCCGGATTTTCACCTCCAATGTAAAGTTAGTGCTACTATACGGATCACAGACTTGCACTGCGCGTCATAAAGAACATCTCAAACAAACTACAGACCTACATTAACAGTTGTCTTCGCTCAATACCACTCAAGATCAGATGGCCAGTCAGAAAAGATCAGCAACAGGGTTCTCTGGCAGTGAGCGAACCAACTCAGCAGGAACCGATTGTGAAACAAATAAGCAGAAAGAAACGGAGATGGATTGGGTGGCCATACTCTGAGGAAACACGCCATCAAGTGACATCACTAGACAAGCCATCGCTCGAGTGGAACCCGAAAGGGAAGCGGCGAGTTGGTCATCAGTGCAAGGGTGACTTGGAGGAGGTGGCATGTGAAGAGGGGAGATGAAAGCATGTGGGCAGACTTGGAGCGGGGTTAAAAAGTTGGCAGAAAACCGAAGGCAATGGAGACGCGCAGCTGAAGCCCTATGTTCCTCTAGGAATTAAAGGAAATAATAATAATATGAATAATAATAATAAACAACAATTAGTATCAATCCATGATCAAACTCGTAGAAAATAAATGTTGTTTACTGGATTGTGTATACTCATAACAGATGGTGTATTTATTTATTTATTCATTGAATCATTGAAATTAAATTGATGAATCGACTGAAGATATATTGTTTATTTGGGTTGAAAAGTTAATGAACGGAAATAAACAAATATGTATAGAACAGAGCATACATGCATGCATACTCGCACACACTCTAGTTGAAATAATAATAATAATAATTTTTCTAAAATAATTTTCTAACAGTTAGTCAACAAAACCAATAATTCATTTTTTATGTTGTCTTATGTACTATTATTATTATTATAAATATTTCAATGTGAATTCTGTCTCTTTAAAAAAACTGATGCTTTGTGCTAATTCGATTGTAAAGGTTGTTTGTTGTATTGCCTTCTTCTAACATTTGGTGGATGGTGATTATCAGAGGAATCCAGGCTAACGCGCATTTCTTCCTTCTCGGGACTCGTCAGCCAGTTGAATGTACCTGCTTCTAGTCAATGAGTGATAGTGTTCCCACTGAAGTTCAAACGCAGTAGCCATAGTTTTAAATGCTGAGGAGGTATCCACGAGACTACTTGGGTCACGAGAGTTAGGCACCACCTATTTTCGCAACAGGTCTAATTAATTATTTAATCCAATTTAGATTCTTCCTTTTGATTGATTAGACCGAAGTGCTGACATGTCGGCTACTTCACATTACATGACGAGACATATTGTCGAAGCATCTGCACAAGGAGCTTATATATGTCAATATGAGAGCGAGAACTTCGGTCTAATCAATTGACGGGAAAATCTGAACTTGTTCGCTTGATTGAGCATTCGTTGGTAAATGGAGGATAATTGTGACCTAAATTGAATAATTTTAAAACCTGTCATCTACCCTTTTCGGAGGTTATTTGCCTTGGAGTCCACAGTGAAAAACTACTATGGTTGAAGTCTTGGGGCGTAAGATGAGTCTTTCGATTATTATTATTACTCCTTTTGGTGCCTATTAGAACATAGGGCTTCAAAAGCTTCCTAGCTGGCTCCACGATTGTCCATAAGCTCTGATCTCCTCCTTACACACACACTGTCTCCACCATGTCATCCTCGGACACTGACCTCGTTTTTTCTCATTCGGGTTACACTTGATAGCAAGCCTGGTTTGTGATGACATTCAGCGATCTCCTCAACGAAGTGTCCAATTCATCTCCATTTTACTTCCGACATGTTTTGTGGGCTGATAGGTTCTTTGTCAGAGTTCTTTTATTTTACTGATGTTTTTTTAGGCCATCTGACTTTCAGCATCGAGCAAAAGCAGCTAGCCTGTTCGTGAAATTCACATTTTCATGACTCACTATTAGGCCTCTGAACACTGGAACACTACTGACTAAATACTTTGTGTTGAAAATCCGAATTTTTGATATTTCTAATTATATAATCATTAGTCTTAGAGAAAAAGTGCTGCATCTTCCAACTGATTAATGTCTGGAGTCTGTTGGATCAAAACTGTCGTAACTTGATTGGCAGTAGTTAGCAGTGGAATCCAGAATATGCTTTTCATCTCCTTTTTTCAGACTTTTATCAGCTTGATGAATGTGCATCCTCCAGGACACTATGTATGTTTCAAACTCTAAAATGTTATGTACTGGGCTGGTCAACCGACGACAAGTGTCGCTTCAAATCTTTTGTTATTTGTTGGTTTCATTCTACATTTTGGACTGAAAGGTTTAGTCTGTCGTGATGATATGTCACCTCTTAGTACAGATGCTTCAAAATAAGTTCAGCAAATTTAATCGGCGGATGGTGACTAGCAGTGGAATCAAGGATGAGCATTTCGTCCTATTTGGGACTCGCTAGTCAGCTAGATGTACCTGCATTTCTCAGTGAGTGATGATATTCCCACCGAGGCTCAAACACAGTGCTCATAGTTTCAAACTCCAAAACGTCACCAACTAGACCATTTGGGCCACGAGAGCCACCCCTCATGCAACGGGTCACATTTATTTAATTGAATTTTAGATTTTACCGTCAACTGATTGGCCCGAAGCGCCCAGCCTCAAGTTGACATGTCGGCTTCTTGAGCAGATGCTTCGACGATGTCTGGGCATTTAATTAGTATTTTATTGGTGGGTGGTGATTAGCAGTGGAATCCAGGATGCGCATTTCGTTCTATTTAAGACTGGATTCCACTGCTAGTCACCATCCACCAATTTAATACTAATTAAGTGCCCAGACATCATCGAAGCATCTTCTCAAGAAACCAACATATCAACCTGAGACCGAGCACTTCGGTCCAATCAATCGATGGGAAAATCTCAAATTAAATTTCAACAAAAGTTAAATAACTTTTTTCAGAACTGTTCGTCTGCTGCTACTATAGCCTGACTTCTATATAACAAATTATCAGATCTGTAGTATATATTCAGATGATTTCTTCAGTGGCGATAGTTGTTAGTGAAGCTATTTTGTTCCAGGTTTTTGATTATTGACAGTCGTCATCAAGGCGTGTCATTAGGCTTTATTTTATTCCTTTAAGTTCCTAGTGCTGGAACATACGGCTTCAAGCTAGAGCTTTTTTGAAGTCTTCGTAGCAGTTGTTACTTTGTTTTTACTTGATGGAGCTGCTAGCCTCATACCCACCCTTCCTGTCTCTACCAGTCTTATTAAAGGCTTCTTAGTGAGGTAAAGCAGGAGTGCGTCGGTGGCAGGGGATCGAACCTGCACGAGTATTGGCGAGTATTCTACAGCTGTGCCACCGACGCGGCTTGAAGGCTTGAAGGTATTGTCTCTTTTTCTTTAGAGAGATCCAGATCCACGTTACCTAGTGATGTAATTGAAGAAATTATCACTGGTCTATTCGATTTCACAACTGACTTAAGACTGTAAGATTGGTCATTAGGGAGTCAACTTTATAGCCTTTTATAGCGTTGTTGCCGATTAATTCTTATCAGTGATATCAATATTCCTTAGTGGAAAACAGTATTTAATTGATTATTTCTTTGTGGATCGATATGTAAAGTTTCTTTTATCTTGTTTACTGATTTTGTGTGTGT